AAACCTTGCCACGCAAAACCAACACAGCAAAATAGTATACCAACAATAAATCTACAATTGTATTAATAGTAAGCCATCACAAAAGGTAGGGGATAGCAAATGTTGTAATAATACATGAACTTACAATTCTCCCTGTCGGTAGTTTAAAGCTTTTCCTTCTCTGTAAGTAGCTCCAAGTGTTATTGCAATTACTAAAGCAGGGATTCCTAGTTAATAGGAGAGACATTAGCAATTTAATGTTTGGTTGCATAGACATACCTCCCTTCCACAGAAATAGCTTCTTGCCTCCTAAAATCCATAGATTTTAAGAACTCTGTTTCATCTGCCTTGCACTAAGCTAAGTGGGTTTTCTGTAGCCTAAAGAAAAGGCAGGACTGAGGGTTGTGAGCACTATTTTTCTGAGGACAGCTCATGTCCATGACTTGCTGATTTTTGCCATAAAAGAGCTTCAACACAGCTTCCAGAGACAACGCCAATGGTGACAGAGCAAACTCCTTCCTGTGCTGTAGCTGACTCCCTCATCACAGCTGTGCAATCCTACCCTCTCGTCAGCAGTGAGAAACTAATTTAAGGAAATTCTGCACCAAGCACCATTACATTTCATACCAGCCTGATGCAGAGCATAACTTTTGCCCTCCAAGAAGCATGGCGGTATGGGTTTGCCTCCTCCATGCCTTTGCTTCACTTCCTCTCTTCCATGTCTCCTGCCTACCTGTTTGCTAAGCAGTACATCTCATGGGAAGGAGCCTCCCACACAAGTTTGTATCTGGGAAATAAACATGCTTCTTAAAAGTCTGTTCCTCCTTCAGCCCTAATAGAGATATTCCAGACTGCAACATATTTGCTGTGCTCTCAAAGTAGATGTGAAAAGCAATGAGTCAGAATGGTGCTATTTTGGACATGCGTAACTAGTCACAGGGCACAATGAAGAACCTAATGCTGTGCTATCATGTGAATATACACGGAGCACAGTGATGTGTAGCTGAGCAGTTTTTGCTGAACATTTTCTGACTTGCACATGCAGTCCAAATTCTAACAGTTTTAGAGGAATTGCATCTACTTCCACCCAAATACAAAACATAACAATGGAACAATCAGGATCTAAAACTGCTTGGTAGATGCCACCAGAAACAACACACCACACAAGCTGGCTACATAACGTGGAAAAGGCAGGTATTCCTGTACACTGTATTAGAAGACTTTCTTCAAGGAGGCTGAGATTTTTACTTTACCTAGTGGGCATTTGTCTTGCAGTGTTTCTGCTAACTGCTGTACTTGCCTTTCAGTTTGCAGTGTTGATGCTAACTGCTGTACTGACTTAAGAATGTGTTCTTTGCTTATTAATAAATAATATGTAACAAATAATGTCAGTCACTCCTTGCTTGCAAGGCTCCGGCTGAGGTCATGAGGAATCTCAGAGATATCTAAACGAAGAATTTGAGTCCATATATGCAATCACCATGTCTGAAAGATTTTATACTTCGTTGACAGAAACAGATTGTTGAATGCCTTGATTAACGTGAAAATTTCTCCCGCACACGACGGACCCATGTTGCTGTGCCAGTGAACAAGCTTTCAGTGTCAATGTCATATCAGGACAATGAAAGCAAGCTCAGTTTATACTAGTAGTGTGAGCAGTAACGGGAGACTATTTATTAAATTGCATTGTGCTAAACCAGAGAGACACTGATTATAATTGCTCTCTAATGATCTCCTATCTTTACAACTCTCCCTGAATGTACTATGTACTGATACTTTGGTAAGAGATACGACTTATATATGACTTTAAATCTTACCCCATCCGATTACTGACATGGTTACGAGGAAGTGTCCAGGCAGGGGCTTCATGGCTCTAAGCAGCAGTAATTACAACTGTGCAGAATTGAGTGCTGTCCACATAAATGTCGCCAACAAAAAATAGTGCGGTAGGACAGCCACGGCTGTACACCAGGAGTCTGTGGGAGGATCTAACATGTCAGATGTGAGTAAGGTGTTACTGGCAGTATCATAAGGAAGGTATAGCTGGTAATGGCTGGTGGTGTCACTGCTGTTATTCCTGGCATTTTGGTTTTCAATTCCAGAGATGAAGATGATGTTAAAAATGAGCATAGAGAAACAGAGACTCACTAACATCCATGTTACAGATGACTTTCAAGTTTTCGTATTGGCAGGAATACATTTAGGAGAAAAAGGTAGAGCTAAATAAGAAAAATTATAAAATATTTCCTCATTTCAATTGATATTAAAAGCAAGCTAGAGTGTGCAGTCTTTAATACAGAGAGAAAACAAAGCAATAACTTGTTTGCAGAATTCTACACTGTCATTACTCTCAGACAACTTAGCAACCATCAGTTTTGTCTGATTTCAACTAGAATAGAGAACACCCAGCACCTTTTAGGACTGGGCCTTTCCCAACAGCAGTTGGTATGCATTTTTCTTTTTAGAATCCTTTTCTTCAGTGTTAAGAGGTGAAATAGCATAAGACAGGTATTTCTAAACACTCTTCAAGGTACAAGAGAATAATAAATCTCCACTTCCAAATGGTCTTATAAATGCATTTAAAAGGCAGAGTCTGGAAGCTCCTGCAATCTTAAATACATTGACCTTGATGGAATTGCTCCAAATCTCCATTAGTGCAAGCAGGATGAGAAACATGCATTCATCTACGATAACTACAACTCTGTTGCAATGACTTTGCTCCTCGTTCAAGGGGGAATCACATGACACCATTAATCACAGCCACATCCATCAAGGAAGTTTGCTTTGAATTAAGTCACTCACAATAAAACTGTAGCACAAGCAGTGTACATAAACTACACTGCTGTATAATCACGGTGCTTTGAAATCATCTGTTCTTTACAGACATTTTGTAAACAGAAGGCAATAGAGTATGGAAACTATCAAACAGGCAACAGAAAGCACAGTAATGTTTAGATAGGATAGCAACAAGAGAACCTGAGGAACAACATGTATGCTTCTACATGAATGCTAAAAGTCTAAGTGATAGGGCAGTGGGCTGAAATGACTAGCCTTAAACCAAGGCACCAACATAACAGGCATATTGGTAACTGGCTAGAAGAAGGATAACTGATTAGACATTGTAATACCAAGGTACAGGGCATACAGGAAAATAAAAAGGGGGTCATGCTGGTGGTGGAATACTGTTACACATTTTTAAAGCCGAGTATTAAGTGAGAGCAATGAACTAAACACCTCAACTTGTAGCATGGACCAGTGCAGCAATAACACAGTGTTGGGTCTGTGTTGTCAACTGCCTGGCTAGGGTAGTAATGGAAACGTCAGCGAGGCAGCGGGGGAGGTGAAATGCAACAGAAATGGCAGACTGCCCTTACCCCGTGTGGATGGGACAAATGTCACTCTGGGACATTACCCGGAGATTAGACATGGTGATGGGAGCCCCTGGTAAAAGGATCAACCCTTGACTTGATCCTCAGTAGCACACACTGCCTGCTTTGTTATCTTATAGCTGGTGAGATGTCTGTCAAGCCATGGAAAGATTTTTCTTGTCAGTGGCCATGCCCAGTGTTTCCGGCTAAAGGCTCGGCCTTTTCTTATACTGGGCTCATCCATACTCTGTTAAATCATTTCTTTTCAAAGCTCACATTTTTGGAAGTGGATTTATTGAATAATAATCATATATATATCTCCTACATTAAAAGATTACCACACAGGTTAAAGTTTTGTCTAGGTGAGAGGCATGGCTGAGACATCTCCTGTCTTCACTTTAACCAGTAAGCCACACTTACTTCCCAAGCTATGCTACGCGATTAGCTCTTTTTTCTTTTTCTAATATTATTTGCTGATCAATAATACTGCAATATGTTCCAAATTGGCTACTCAAACTATACACAGAGCAAAATACTGTAACAGCATAAAATACTTGCAGGTTTATCTCTTCACTCTTACCTAGTGAATATTTGAAACAAAATGGTAATGACCAGACCAGCCACAGACAATCCAACACCAATGTAAGAAATACATTCCACAGGCTTTGCATATTTATATTTGATCTGAAAGGCCTAAAAACCAGATTGTATCAGTTATGAGATAGTTTTTTTCTAAAATTTATGTTTCTAGTTGCACATAGAAACAAAAATGTTTTAGTAAAGTTATGACGGTTGCTAGCCACTGCCAAAATGATTCTGGACCTAAAAACTAGAGAAGCTTGTGAAGAACTCCAAAAAGAGAATTAACAATGTCAATCAAATATTTAGCAACATAGTATATTAAATCATTCACAGAAACATGAAAGGGGACGCAGACTGGAAAAAGTAGCTTTAACTTTTCATATTGATGTGCATTCTGAATTTTGGCTTCTGAGGATAAGGTCTAAGATAAGATGCTACGAAGAATTACAAATCAAAGCCAGTCTTTCTTTGTATAGTGACAATAAAGCATCAAGTAAATGTAAATGTATTCAGTGAAACAGAAAATCCTGTTGTCTTTGCATAAACGGATGGGAATCTTCTTTAGCGTATAGTCATTTTGCACAATAAAGACATGCGTAAGATAAAGGGAAATACAGAAACAAGTAAATATTACAAATATGGAAATGCTGTTCTGTGAAGACAGGGTAAAAAGAAACTCTGAAATCCTGGCACTGCTGAAGTCAGTGATCGCAGATATGTGATTTTACCCAGGGAGTGTTTTGTTTAGAGAAGCTGGAACAAATACTGAAAGAATAAAAAAAAGTCAGTCATTCCTAAATAGGCTTGTTAGTACAAGAGGGCAACATATGAAACTTAGTGGTAGCAGGCTTAATATTGACAGAGAGATTGCTTTTTATAAACATATAAGCAAAGGAAGTAGTTAATGCTAAGTACTTTTGAGTTATTTACCCAGCAGAAGGCAATGCCACAGCTAGCCCCCATCCCAAGCTGCTCTACTGTTCGTCTTGGGGCGCCGTAGGCTTTAGGCATGCACTCATGTAACAGCCGGCTGCGGCAATGGAGGTGCGGAGCTGGAGGCTACGACAGCAGAGCAAGGTGAATGAGTTGCGCCAGCCCTTCCCTGCAGCTGGGGTGCACAGGCAGGTGGGCACAGCTGCTGTTTGTCTCAGAGAAAGCCAGGACTCGCCAATACATTTGGCTTTCCAGCAGCCTGGGGACAACTCGCATGTCCCAATTCGCCAGCTCTGCCACAGGTCAGAAACAAGTATGTGGGGATGTCTTAAACTCCTGCGCCTTCTAGCTCAGCACGGCTACACCTTTACATTGGCACGCTGGCCTTACAGTCGAAAACAACCAAATGAAAAAACAAACCCAAACTTCCAGTTCAAGAAAGGACAATGCCCTACCATCAGGACAGCAAAATCAGTGGTGTGATTACACCTGCATCTCAAGAACCAGTCTCTTCCTTTTGCACAGCCAGCGGTGCTCCACTCGTTGACAGTGTAGTCTCAAAAGACGCAGGTGTGATCACGCAGCTGCAGTTTGGATGTGTTGTACTATGGATTGGGATTGCGAGGAGAAAAAGTGGCTACAGAAACATCAACAGATATGCACCAAAAATTGCATGTACTGACAATTATCCTCTGAAAGGGGAGCTGACGGCTACTAAGGGATTTACGAGGTTTCCAGTAAACTTTATGAACAGTATCAATAACAGCATCATTTGGCATTTTGAACTTACTTTGTGTGCCTTTCTCAGTCAAAATTGCCAATGAAATTACCCATTTCTGTGAATTATTCAGGTAATTACGGTACAGATGCACATTGACTAGGCATTAAACAACCGCCCAATTACTTCTGTGTAAGCCAAACAACAGCTTTCAGATATTAATAGCATTAAATTGCCGCCAACTGGAGCTGAATCCACACTGTAACAGGAAGCAAACAACGATAAATGCAGTGAACCATCTCCTCCCCTCCTGCAGCACGACAGTGCTTGCGCAGTCGTATGTCAAACTGCATGCAGTCATTTTCGGACAACATACTTCTGCAGGGTACTTCAAGTAGAATTGCTTTTTAATAAGCAACAAGCAACTTGAAGTGCAAATAAGTAGTGAACGCAACTATTCGCAGTACTAGGTAGTTCAATTAAAAATGAGGAATAAAAGTAGGAGTAAAAAAATCAATTATAAGTTTGTGTCAATGATTTCCTTAAAAATGACATGTGCTTCCCAGATTACTTGCCTGTATGGATCCATGATGATGATTACTGATCTAGCATATGCATGTATTTGAACTTAAAACCTTTGTTAAAAATTGTAAGAAGCAGCCAACTACTGTTTTCTGGAGAAACCATGCTAAACATGAGTACATTATCTAAAAATTCAGTTATTTGGGCAAGTGGGCACTCACATAGAACATTTCCTGCAAGAAAGCAGTAACATCTGGAATCGGTCCCTGGGGGGGGCGGGGAGAGGAATCAAAACAAAACACACAATGATTTTAACTGAAAACAGGAGTTAAAAGATAGTGTGAAAAATGAACACCATTGGTAGGTGTATTGGGCTATGCCAGTCATGTTGGCTTTTTTTGTTTTCAAAAATGTTGATAGTCTTCTGGAAAGAAAAATTGTCGTCCAGGGACCTGGCTTTTCTCATTCTTGATTTAGGACTAATTTACCCTAGGACAAATCCATTCTGGTATACCTATAATTTTGTATGGAATACAGTTTTGCTTGCAGATGTCCTAGTTTAGCAGTACTGAATCAGTAACACGGTGTTAAATACAAAAGTTGAAAAATGTTTCCTATGCCACGTTATCTAAATACCCTTTGCTTATGTCACCTATACATCCCCAAAACCCTCTCAACTCCTAATTGCCAGAAGTCGAGGCAGTATGCCAAAAAAAGCCTCCCTCTTGAATCTCTTAAGCCTCCCTCTTTCCCGAAGTCCTGAAGACAGGTAGTAGGGCAAGGGCAACCTCTGGGTCAAACTGAACATGGCATTTCTTACGGAGGCTTACCTTGGGACTGAAGGCTATTTCAACACTGTTGGTTCTTCTACCATCAATGTTGCCGGAGACGATTTGTTTAGAGAAACTACTGCGACTCTGATAAATCCTTGACTGGAAGAGTTTGTAATTTTGATACAGCACAAAGCCAACTCTTCCATTGTCTGATGAACCTTTGCGAGGCAAAAAGAAAAGTAGGTATGGGTAGCAGACATCAGAGAAGCTGGTGCCTTTGAAGAAGCCTACGCTATGCTGTTTTACACATCCAGTATTTACAGCAGATTTTTGTTTAGATATTTATTTAGAATCCATTTAAGAAGTAGAGAAGAGCTTCTCTTCTCATGAATCTCAAGGGAGTCATCTTCAACTTTTGCTGAGGTGGAGTGTGAAAATAATTATTACCCTACTCTTAATGTAATTTCTGGGGAAAAATATTGGTAACAAGGAAAATAATATCCTAAATCCCAATACATACACACACTCCAAATGGCCAGGCTATTAATAACACTAAATAAGAAATAGTAACACAAGGGACATTTACATTTAGTAAGAAGTCAGAGAATAAAAGAGGATGGCTGGGCTTTTGCCTTGAGATCCAACTTTTGGACTCTGCTTCTTTTGCACTCTTCTACCAAATTAGAGAGATTTCATCTAAGTGATTTAAATCACTAGTCTTAATGATTACTTAAGTGAGGAAGCAAAAATCCTGGTATATATAACGGATTTTGTTCTTGGTTTTATACTTTTCGTTTAAGATCAAGAGAGACTGATTTGATCTCTCTCTGATTTGATCATCAAGAGAGACTTAACGTAATTTTATCTACAAAATGTCACAATTGTGCATTTAATATTGAAGAAATCTATTTTTTTTAAAGACAAGCTGTGCATTCAATCTAGCTCTCTTGAGGAAAGTGTTATTATATGCAGGTATTATGATAAAAGCTTTATTTACATGATCACACTGTTTTTCCACAGGATTGTTGTCTGAAACAGTGAACAGAAAGGACAGTGACCAGTTAATGAGCTATTCAGTGGATTTTTTATTGTCATTGCTGGATGTGTGGGGCAACCTGATTTGTCTCTTCAAGTCTTTTCTAACCCTGGTGAGAGGACTGAATTATTCATTTCCCTGTGGGCTTGTATACCAACGATGTTCAGCATTATGATGTCTAAGCACTTCACAAACTTCACCTTCATTATACTCTGGCACTGTGATGTCTTAGTGTTACTGTCACTATACAGAGAAACTGAGCATGAGTCTGCTGGTTTTCCGTGCCCTGTCTGAAACTTTTGTGATTTTTAGCATGTCATAGAAATGCACGTGTTCAAAGCTCAGCTCCCCCACACCTGCAGCAAATGAAGCAGAAGAACTATAAGCTTTTTCTTTTTTTTTTTTTTTTTTTTCTCCTGGGTGACACCAGTTTATCCTCCGAGCACTGCAGAATCCAAGTAATGGACATCTGGAAAAATCCCGTGTGACCATGCCATTAAAGACTATCCCAGTATGTAGGTGCGAGGATGTGTTTATCCTGGCTGACTCCTGACAGTAGTAGTAATTTTAGTTGAAACAGTTGATGTCTTTGGATTTCAGGCAAGGTATGTATGTACTAGCTCTTGATCTTGATGTCTGTAGAGGTATTGTCAAAGATTCATTACATTCTCCATTTTAGAAAACAAAACAAGTGAAAAAGTCCCGAACACTGAAAGCATTCTGGCCATTACATGTACGTGTGCATTAACCTATAAATAAGATTATCCAGCTCATTTGACATGTGCATTTCATGTACCATGTATGGCATCAGCATGCATAAAAAACAACATGCAGTTGTTTATATTGGCTAAGGGGTTTTTTTTGGCAAAGATTTTTAGTTAATATTAATTCAACATTTTCTCAGGTGCAGTTTTCAATAGGAGAAAGAACTTACTGTTATTTATAATGTGGAACAGTATCTGAACTTCAGTACTGAGGTCACCAGTAAGCCCAGGGACATTTTCCTGTATTTCTAGTTTTGTTGACTGGTAATATCCCAGTGCTTTATCTGCAAAAATTAGCAGTGGATGCATTAGGATTTATGGTACATACTGCCTTGTCCAGGTAAATCCAACAACACGCACAGACTTACCTCTCTTTGCTGAAAAGAGAATCATAGAGGAGCGTAATTTCAGTGGAGCTGACTGGATTGCAACTTTGGGCTGTGAGATGTTGCCAGTCAAAGAAAATTCCTCCATTGTTTTCATGAGGCTGCATTGAAATAATAAGTGGGATAAAAGTTACCATTATTAACATACGGCTACAGGTTCAGTTTCTGAGCTTCCTCTCTGATTTGGTTCTCAGTGGGAACTGCTTCTTATTCCCTATCCTCATCCTTTCTCCAAAGCAGAAAAATCCACCCAAAATTGTTTATGTTGGTATAAATCTACTGAATCAGTGAAATTGCATATTGGAATTGAACACTTAAAATGTTTTGACTCATCCATGAACCACTTTCATCCTGAAACAGAAAGGAAAATGCAGTTTACTACATCAAAAAAAAAAAAAATGGCAAAAGCTAAAGTTACCTTGTTGTAACATTGACAAGATTATTGTGGTTGAATTCTGTTTCATTGGCATCCAAGAGTTGACTCACGGCAGCCATTATTGCCACAGATGCCTGACACAAGCAGAAAAAAGGCAATATTCAAATGCAACTGAAATAAATCACCCCATGTGCTACATAGTAGATGGGCAAGGTAAGAACACTTAATAAGCATTGCTTGAAAGTACGCACAACAGAGTAAACAAAGTACAGGATGCCATTTGAGAGAACACAAGCTTTGCACCAATAGGTTCATAAATACCACACTTTTATTAATTTAGACAGTAAGGATTAAATGATTAACTTAAACATCAAATGATGCTCATATTAGACTTTCAGATATATGCAAGTCTAAACAGCTAATAAGAAACAAATTTACACTCCGCTCTGAGAACTGACCCAGCAGTGGTTCCACAAGTATGCACTCAAGGACACTGCTAAATAACGCTGCTAAATGGCAAAATGAATGCATTTAGTTGTGGTGTTGCGTACAGTTAAGAGGAAGGATAGTGTTCCTTCTGCTGATGGCAGGGGGACAGAATTGATATCCCAAATACCAAGCCAAAAAAAGTCTTATTTTAGTCTTAATAAGTCTCAACTGAGAGTCTTCTGAAACATTTGGCTTTTTCAGAATCTGCACTGTGATGTTCACAGCAGCAGAGATGTTCTGTGTGGTCAGTTGGTCTGGCATGGAGGTGAGGATTTGGGTGTTACTTGCAATAACTGAAACATTGCTGGAGTCCGCAGCTTCAACCTGTTAGGAAAATGACATTCAACAGAAAGAAAATGAGAAAAGGTAAAAGAGTCACCACTTTTATAACAGTCTCACATAAAATCAAAATATAAAAGTAATTGGTGGTGTAAAATGTTTCTATTCATGTCAAGTATGCGGCATTTGCAAATTCTCCCTAGAGGATGATTTCATGGACTCAGGGAGTAGCTTGGGTTGGAAGGGAGCCCTGGAGGTCCCCTAGCCCAGCAGGGCCAGCTGAGACCCGGCTGCTCAGGGGCTCACTTTGAATATCCACAACCTCCCTGAGAAACCTGCTTGTGTTTGGCCAGCATCAAGGGGAAAAATATTCTATTATCTAATTATAATTTCCCATGTTGCCATTTGTCTCCGTGGCCACTCATCCCAAAACTGCAAACCTTGAAGAAGAGCCTGGCCCCATTGTTCTCCACACCTTGCCATGAGGTAGCTGTAGAGAGCAGCAGGACTTCCCCTTTATCTTGACAAGGTCATTGAGCTTCTGAGTCTATAAACTTCTGTACACCTTTCACTATTCCTCAAATAACCACAATGGGATTTTTTGAAAAGCCATCAGAGGAACCTAAGAAATGTCATCCAGAGTAATTGTGCTTCTCAATGCAGTGCTCATAACCTGCACCAAAAACATTATCCTCACTTCAGTACATTGTATGTAGTGTCACCTTGGAATAAATGTAGAAAAAACAAAGAAAATAATCTGGTGCTGGAGATACTAGTAGTTGTTGCTAGAAGCACTGATGTGGTCCAGTTAAAGTCAGTTAGCACTTAATGAGTAGATCTTAATATGTCCATAGTATCTTAAGAGTCTAAACACACACAAAAAGGTGAAGCATTAGCTGTATGTTTTATGGAGGTGTAGCTAGGTAACAGTAAGACTTAAAGAGATGGAAAATCTGCTTATCATCAGGAGAATTTCCTTTGTAGGCTATGGAGACCAACTAAATAGTGTATCAAGTCATCCCTTTTCTAATCTAGTCAATGAATAGCTTAAATGAACAGCTTCAATAACTGAATTGTTCTCAAATTGTTTATGTTGGGAAGCTATCAAAATCAAGATTAATTCAATCATGCAGCTTTGAAGTGTTTATAAAGGAATGATAGGAAAGACAGGTGAATGTATTGCATAGGGAGGAAGAACATTTGCATTTATAGTTACTGGAGATGATATTATTTGACTTGAAAACATCTACGTATGCACCATGAACAAACAGTACACAGGGAACGCCTGTTCTCACTATTCTTACTTCTGACTTTTAGCATGACCTTGTATTCAAAGTAAACATTTGTATTTAAAAAGAATAAGGTCCTTTTAAACCTGGGCTCTGGATCACAAGCATGAACACGTCCTCCTCTTCCTCCCATTTCCTAGTTTCATCCTTGCACCCCGAGCTGCCCTGGCCTCACTAGATGGCAGCATGACATCACACCTCATCACAAAACCCCCAATTACTAATGGCAGCAGAATAACCTTATGTTGCAACATTATGTTGTATCTTGTTAGTATTAGAAATAGCTACCACTAATACTATATATAACATTGGAGAAGATTTGACATTTGAACCATTTAGTGAAGGCTATGGGAAAATATAATATTGAGCTCAAGGGTTTCCCATTAAAAGATCCAGGCAGGTGAAGCATTGGGTTGAAGGTACAATAGTTGAGCCGAAAATGCATGATGAAAGGGACTTCTCTGATTTAAAAGGACTGTAGCTGGTTTCTTCTTTCTTTCTTTCTTTCTTTCTTTCTTTCTTTCTTTCTTTCTTTCTTTCTTTTCTTTCTTTCTTTCTTTCTTTCTTTCTTTCTTTCTTTCTTTCTTTCTTTCTTTCTTTCTTTCTTTCTTTCTTTTCTTTTCTTTCTTTCTTTCTTTTCTTTCTTTCTTTTCTTTCTTTTCTTTCTTTTCTTTCTTTTCTTTCTTTTCTTTCTTTTCTTTCTTTTCTTTCTTTCTCCTTTCTTTCTTTCTCTTTCTCTCTTTCTCACTTTTTCAGTTGGGACTAGTGATAAGGAAACAAAGAGCGGAAGCAGAAGAGAAGCAGTCACTGTCTGTAATGTGGTTAGTCATATTCAGCTCTCCATGTTTTGTACATATGGCAGAGCTGAGCCTTAAAGTAAGGCTTAGGGGTTTATGGATTTTATCAGGAAGAGTTAGCCATTCGTACAAGAGAGTTTGAATTTGAATTCTTGATGGACAGAAGTGTTTTGTCCATGTTCAGCTGATCACAGGTCTGAATGGAAAATCTTTGCTCTTAATCCTTCCTAACATGTCAGTGTCAGCATCACTTTCTTCCCTCATGCCAGTCTTCTCCGTATCCCTTTCATTGTCTCACTGCAGGTCAGTTAAGAAATACGAAATGGGATGCTGTGTTCAGGCAAAACCAAACAAAAGAAAATAATCACTGTTGGAAATTCAGGCCATTTCCAAAGAAGGCACATGCCAAGAATGCCACTGAAAAAGGCTTTCATTGTTCGTTCACTTTCTGCAGTTTTATGAAATGTAACACATATACATTTCCTGCCTCAATTGCCAATCACTTTTTTTTTCCCTTGGGATGATGCAGAATCTCAGATACTGTTTAAATAGTAATTTAAGATTACCTGTGATGCTAGGGACTCCAGATTTTCATAGAATCATAGAATGGTTTGG